GTCTGGGCTATATGTGAGAAAATATAATATTTTAAAACAAATACATATTTCAAAACAAATTCCAAAACTGTAGTGAGGAGAGAATCCTTACTTTTCTTGCAAAAAATAAGAAGAGAGTTCTTACTTTTTGCATAATTAACAGGGCACTGCCAAATGTGAATTCTTTAATTCCTTATCTGACTCACAGCACAAAAGGATTAGCTAGGAGTTAGGAGTAACTAACTGGTTGCATTGTAATTGCCAGCTGAACACTGAAAATGTGAAATTTATATACTTTTTAAACCTTGGTGCTTGTCTAGATATTTTTAAAATAAAATGAAGTCTGTTCAGTTTAACACCATGAAACTTCCAGTGGCATCAGTTTTACTTCCTTGGATTCATGCTAATTCCATAGTATCTTCTTTGATATTCACTACCTTTCATCAACAAGTATGGAATTATTGGCATTGGCGCAAGACAGGCCAGCAGTGACAGCCCCTGTCTGGACTGTAATAAGGTAAAACATCCAAAGAACACCATGTAAAAACAATAAGGTAGAAGTCATATTTATTGAAAAAAATTAATATATTTGCTATAAAATCTGTAACAGTAATGCAACTGAATATTTATTTTGATGCATAAACCTGAATGTTACATACCAAATACAATACAGTAACACTGGTTTCCTTTTTATTTACATGTTTATGAAAATTGATATGCAATCCATGTCAAAAGAACTTATAATGGAGAATAGTTACATTAGAAAAATAATATTCTTGATAAAGCATTCTCAAGGAGTCCAATCACATTTTTAGGCCTCTTTCAATAAGGCAAAAATCCCTGGTACAGCATATAACTTAATTTACAAAATACGATAACTGTTCAGACACATCTTCAAGTTTTCTTTTGGTATGCTTTTCTTCACTGTAAAATTACTTAATTTTCTTACTAAACGGAAAGACTTTCAGTAGCATAACTTAATGAGTTCTACTATATATTACATATACATTGCTGTAGCTTAGCAACCATACCTGGGCAATCTTGTTTCTTAACTGTTTGCTCAATGAGCTTTCCCTTGGATGTAGCACACATTAGTATCTTGACATTCTTACAATTGTGATATCTTTCTTCAGTTTTCATAGGAAACAAATCTGTCACATTTTGAAACGCCTTTTAATTTTACTTTTAGGAACTGGTGCACAACTACATTTCCACTCACAAGAGAACGTCACAAATGTAACTAAAATAGGCTTGGATAACTCTGAAAATGTACTTCTATGTGCCAAAACCAAATTTCTTACTTTTAATACTTTGTACCCTGCCATGCTCTAGGATTTCTTCTTCTGCACAGCTCCATTACTACTGAGTCAAATTGTTTTAATTCCTTCAAAGGCACAAAACTTCCACCTTTTTTCCAGTGTTGCTCCTACACCAGTGAATTCTTGTTTAAACATGCGTGGCAGTCTCATCAAAAGCATTTCTATTTCATTTGCAGAGATCTGTGGAAGAGGGGAAAAGCAAAAATACAATGAAAGGTTACCCTGTACACAGAAAAAGAAATTTAGAAAGTGTCATTAGAACTGTTTTTTAGGTAATCAAAAAAAATCCTCAAATTTGTTAGTAACAGGTATTTATTTTCTCTTTGAGAGATCATAAAATGTTATGTTTATATACAGAAAGAGTCATGTTCCCACCATGCTATATAAGAACCTGTTATCCATTTTAGACACTGTTAGATATTGCGTTCTGGAAGAAAATGTTAGTTTTCCAAAAGGCTGGGGTAGACTGTACTCCAAGTGCTTTTTGTACTGGAAGGAGTAGGAAGGGAACTTACTCCATTGCTAGGGTCCCCTGGGAATTCCCACACAGTATAGTAGCAATGTTACCCATTGTTTAGACTCCTCCCATCTTCTGTTAGTACCCTGGAGGCTGCTCGGTTCCTAAGTGGAGCTATCACCTCTAAGAGAGTTCTGGACAGCACCTTGTTTATAAGCATAAGATAGAGGAATCAGCATTAAATCTCCCCTCATCTTACATGTGTGAGGTTGCTCAGGCCACAGCAGGTTACCCAGAATCCCTACCATATCAATTATGACACATCCACACCTTGGACCTAAGTATGAACTTGCTTGCACAGAAATTACATCAGTAACTCAGAGTTGTTCCTGATGTGAAATAAAAATCAGCATATTCTCAGATTTTTATTGAACTACTACAGGATGTAGTATATGGGCTAACCAGAGAGCTTTATGGTCTTCCTATGTGACTGTCCTGGAGAAATATCCTCTAGCTTGGTGTTGAACTACTGAGATATATTGAACTAGCAGGGCAACTTTTTGGTTAGCTTTAACACGGTACACCTGAATTTCCTGATGTTAAATAAGTGTAAATTCCTTGCAGAAATGGCCTTGCATTTTTGGTAGCAAGACTCTTCCCACAGAAGGAGTACACTATAACACTGCAAGACCACTATTTCTGGGCTGCTAAGTGCTCACCATATATTTCAGTGTCTCTGAGAAGTGTACGTCCCTTAATCGTCTAAAGGTTCAAATTGTAACTGATTTGTAAGAAACTCAAACATTCACTTTATTTTTTTGGTTTCCACATTTACATTGAAAAGAAAATGGATAAATCCTCCCTTCATAAAGTCTGTCAGGTGCTTTTACAAAAGCTAAATTACTGAAGCAGTATTTAATGTAGTTTATTCCATTAACTGTAGTTTCAACATAGCAAGCAGCCATTAAAGGCCAGATTGCATGGGACCCTGTGTGGGTCTGTAAGCAGGAGCAGCGCCAGTCTCTTCCCAGTGTGGCGGGGCTGAGGTGGGCCAGACAGAAAATTGCGCAGGGTGGGAGTGGGGGGAACTGTGCAGACAAAGGCAGGACACAGGCCCTCTGGCCCGGGCTGGGCCAGGACTGCTACACTTCTACAGGCGGGAGTAGGGCAGGTGGCAACAGCCTGAGGGGGAGGGAGGTGCTTTGGACAGGGGTGGCACTGGGAGGGGTGGCTACAGGGGGACTAAAGCCACCTGGATTTGAGGTAGCCATAGGGAGGGATTTGAGGTAGCCATAGCCCCCCAAATCCCTCCCTAGTGTTGCTCCCATCTGTAAGAGACGGGAAAGGACAGAGACTCAGTCCAAGTCCCTTGGATTCCCCAAGTAAAAGGACTGTACAATGCTAATGTCCAAAGGGCCTGTTCAACATTGGCAACAGGAGCTAATCTTTTGCAAATTAAAGGCACCTAACAC